ATTTTGTTTGTTTGTTTATAAACCAAGGTTTAAAAAGGCTATGGGTGTACAATTTCAATTGTGAAAATACAACTAATAAAATAGTATTTTATTGTGTTCAAGATCTGGGCTGCTGATGGAAATGTCATGTGTTCGAACCCCACAGCAACTGATTTGTGACCCTGGACCTGTCTTAAGTCACTTGGGTATATTTTTAGCAATAGCCAAAAAAACATTGTATGGGTCAAAATTATCAATTTTTCTTTTATGCCAAAAATCATTAGGATATTAAGTAAAGATCATGTTCCATGAAGATATTTTGTAAATTTCCTACCGTAAATATATCAAAACTTAATTTTTGATTAGCAATATGCATTGCTAAGAACTTCATTTTAGGGCTGCACAATATTAGAAAAAACATTGCAATATTTAATTTTTCTGCAATATATATTGCGATATGAAAAAAAAAATCACCACATGACTTGAATAGTTTATTTGGGGAAAAAAATAATCAATGATTGCGGTGATTTTGTAGGCGAGTAAATCAGCATAGGAAATAAACAAATTCCATCCATTTTCTTTCTCAATTGTTTCCCTTCACCTAAGCCATAAGCAACTATGTTTACAAGGACACTTGCAGAGCACAGTATTTCAGGCACAAATAGACGCAGAAGTGAACCGAATTCATTGTTCACGTGCATCTGCGTGGCTCTCGCCGTGTCTACACCAGACGTGAGCGGTGCGAAGCGACAAAATACAATGAACCCATTATAATCAGTGATGCTGTCACTGGATGCGGCGCGGCACGACAAATCCCCGTCAGTAAACTGATGCCGCGTTCTCTTTATGACGTACTGACACAAAGTTCAAATGATTGGCAACGGTCGCTTTGTCGCGTCAAGTGTAGACAGACTTTGGGGCCGTTCACATGTCGCGCCTAAAAACGCGTGGGAAAAGGCCAGTCGCGCCGCTTTTTCCTTCTTTCCAAAGCGCTCGGGAGCTTGCGCTTTTGTGGCGTCTGCCTTTGCTAAGCAACCATGACCTGCACTCTCCGCGACGACGTGGAAGTTTCAACAAAGGATTAATGGATTTCCAGCACTGAAAATCCCTTGCAGTAGCTCTGCTAATAATTTTTTTTACAATGGGTATCCTTGTACAGCTGTCACATCCGGTGTAGACACAGAGTCTGTGTGTGAGCAAAGAAAACAATCAGTATAAATATAATGATCAGTAGCCTATACTAAACATCGCACATCCTGCGATGTGACTATCGCGGATGCGCACATCGCGATATCGATGCTGAAACGATATATCGTGCAGCCCTACTTCATTTGGACAACTTTAAAGGCGATTTTCTCAATATATATATTTTTTTGCACCCTCAGATTCCAGATTTTCAAATAGTTGTATCTCGGCCAAATAATGTCCTATCCTAACAAACCATACATCAATGGAAAGATGTATAAATCTCAATTTGGAAAAAAATTGACCCTTATGACTGGTTTTGTGGTCCTGGGACACATTTATGTACAATCACCATCATTTCCTTGATTAACCTCTGGTTACTTCACTGGGTCTGTCCCTGCAATAAATTCCCTGTAGGTCACTTTGAATAAGAAGTGTCAGCTAAATGGCAAATGAGTAATTAAACTTGGTGCCCTCCACTAAAGTTATTATATTATCTTTCTGTATGTGTGTCTTTTAGGATGGCACAGAGCCTGTGGTGAAGGACGTGCTCTGTATTTTTGGTCAAATAAATGCAGCCATGATGAGCAGAAGAGACTTCTTTAAAACATATTAAAAATCTTACTGATCCCAAACATTTGAACAGCCATACACACCTTGGTGCCCTCCACTAAAGTTATTATATTATCTTTCTGTATGTGTGTCTTTTAGGATGGCACAGAGCCTGTGGTGAAGGACGTGCTGCCCGGGGACAGCGTTCACAGTCTGCTCAGCATTCTAGACATCATTACAGTAAGTTCTCTGTCTGTCTTCCTGATGACTTATCCAGCTCCAGTGCACTGAGATTAATTTTGGATCTTCCCTTTCTGTCCAGGGTTATCCTGCTCCCTATAAGACTGTGTTTGCTCGTGCGGCGGTCAGGTCTACCATATTGCGTCTGCCTGCCTCAGCATTCCAGTCAGTGTTTGAGAAATACCCAGAGACTCTAGTGAGAGTCATACAGGTACAGAGGGGCTTGAACTCTCGCATGGCTGTCTGCATCAATGTGACCTCTGTCTTACTGAACATCTGTCTCAACCACAGTGTAATAATGGGCCCTATTATTCACCTTTTTTTTTTTTAAATCATGTTTTTTTCCCTACAAAGTCCACTTTAATTGTTCACCAAGGTTTTTATTTTATTTATTTATTTTTTGCTGATGTACCTTTAGATCTCTACATGAAAGCACAATACACACCGTAGTTCTTCAGGGCAGCCAAGTAACTGATTACTACGGGCTCCCAAAAAAAAAAAATTATGGAATAATTAAGCCAATGATTATTTTCATATTATGACTAGTAACCGTTATGCGGCCTATATTAAAATTAGTACTAGTAATAGTACTACATATAAATTGGTGTTATTATTATTATTATTATTATTATTATCATTAACATTAGTGATAGTAATACTACAATTAAAATTCAATACAATTAAATTAATTAAAACTAAATAAAACATTAAAAGCTTAGATGGTTGTCATAAAGTCATTTTAAATGTTACACGTGAATTTAGGTATCACAACATTTATATACCGGTAATATACAGTAGGAAAATTTCATTTTAATATTATTTAAAGATTACATTTAACAGTGTTATTAAATTGGTTGTGCTTTTAACTCAAAATGTTAAAGTGGAGGAAATTAGCACAAATGAATATCCAATATTGCCTGATACAGATAAATAAAGAATAATATTAATATAATATGTAATGTTGATGGTTACTGATACAGTTAAAGTGACAATTTTTGTATGTTTTACATTCTTCATCAATGGTCTGGCTGTGCAGGGAAATATAGTGATGTGAAAAGTTAGACTATGTCTAAATTGCATATCAAACATCTTTAGTTAAAAGAGCAAAGAAAATCCTGTTTTTCCCATGATACGGTTCATTTTACTGCATAGACACTGGCATATTATTTGTGAGACCGCAAACTGTTATTAACAGAAATAACTAAAGTAATTTACAAGAATGACAGTGTTAATTTGTGGCTTGTTTCTGTCTGTTTAGATAATCATGGTGCGTTTGCAGAGAGTGACTTTCCTGGCACTTCACAACTACCTGGGATGTATGTTTTACATTCTTCATCAATGGTCTGGCTGTGCAGGGAAATATAGTGATGTGAAAAGTTAGACTATGTCTAAATTGCATATCAAACATCTTTAGTTAAAAGAGCAAAGAAAATCCTGTTTTTCCCATGATACGGTTCATTTTACTGCATAGACACTGGCATATTATTTGTGAGACCGCAAACTGTTATTAACAGAAATAACTAAAGTAATTTACATGAATGACAGTGTTAATTTGTGGCTTGTTTCTGTCTGTTTAGATAATCATGGTGCGTTTGCAGAGAGTCACTTTCCTGGCACTTCACAACTACCTGGGACTGACAACCGAGCTTTTCAATCAGGTTGGAGAAAGAGTACACACGTACATCTCAGCATTATTGCTTTTAGGGTCACACACACACACACACACACTCTCTATCACTTCTAAAATATGTGCTTTTCTCACACACACTCTCAGTGTTATTACATGCTACGTTAACCCCCATCGGCATAATCACTCCTGCGCTGGAGCCGTAAAACTCCGCTAGATTGAATAACATGGATCATAAGACCTCGGCTTTCATTTAAAGGACACTGACTTTAACACCCTCTGGGTGGAAATCTCCCATCAGCCATCACTGCATGTCACAGCACAACCCTACACACACGTAACTCTCTCCTCATTGCATGGACAGGCCAAGGGAGTTGTTTTCCGTTTTGATTTAAGAAGTACTTTTGGCTTGCACTGTGAATTTGAGTGCTCTCCCATCGGCTATAAATACAATTTAGTCCCAACAGCAGGCAAGGTTTCGTGACAACACAGCATAAACTCAGTGCAGTTCTTACATTTTGTGATGTTCTGCTTTTTTTAATTTTGTGATGTTTATGATGTTCTGATGAGTTGAAGCGCAAAAATGAATAAGGTTCAATAGCAAATAAGGATGTTGAAAAGGAAAAAAATGTTATGTTCTTGCTTTTCATATGGTTTTGAAAACCCTTTATAAGTATATTCAGCAAAAGTTATGACTTCAATTTCAGTCAGGCTGTTGTATGGCTTTAGAATATTTGAAATATAGTGCCTATAGTCGTAAAAATATAGTTGTTTAAACAATTTAATTACGCTTTTATGGTACTTTTTAGTCATTTTGGTTTAGTAAATAATAACAGAATTTCTAAAAATAAATAAGAAAAAAAAAGATTGAATAAATTAATTAACCTTGACACAAAAAAAATTAAGCATCACTTCAATGACCCACAAATCATTGTTATGAGTAATTAGGAGTCTATGATTTTTAACTAGTTAAAAGTTGTTTATTGAATTGATCTTTCTATGGAGAAAGACACCAGACAGTCGATGGCTGTTACTTTAGACCAGAAAAATCGTTTTATGTGTGTCAGATGCTTGTGTGTGTGTGTGTGTGTGTGTGTGTGTGTGTGTGTGTAGGAGAGACAAGCAGTTCCGCTGTTCGCAGTCAACAGTGTGCTCACTGAGGGGAGTCCCAGCAGAGTCCCACGCAGATCCCACTTACAGACACAAACAGAAGACGAGCACCTGCAGAGCTCTGGAGAGAACTTGACAGACTCGGGTACACGTGTACTATATATATATATATATATATATATTCAAATTTAGATTAATTCACTAATAAATCCTTTATAAATCCTCCACAGATGTTTCTTGAGCACTAAATCTGCATATTAGAATAATAACTGAAAAAGTAGCTTTGTTATCACAGGAATATATTACATTTTAAAATAGTATTTTTTACAATAATATTTCACAATATTGCTGTTTTTACTGTGTTTTTGATCAAGTAAATGCAGTCTTGGTGAGCATAAGAGACAATCAAATACATTACTAAAATCTTACAATCCAGGATGGGAACCCTTTAATTATTACAGACTAAGCCTTACCCTAAGTAAAAAAAAAAACGTTCTGCATTTGCAATATTGCCTTTGTAATATTAATATTTTTGCTTCTAGTGTTTTTGTCAGATTTTGCTTTCATCTAAGGACAGTTTTCCTGAAGTCAGAATGTTTTTTTTCACAAAAATACAGATTTACAGAAATATTGTACATGGCTGTTTTGAAAGTGATATAAATGTTTCATCACTTAGATGGAGGGCAAGCTGGTTCATATGAAAACATGTCCACAGCCGCGCGGAGGTCTCGCTCGGTCTCGATGCCTGTAGAGACCTCAGGTAACAGATAACCTACCATCTGTCTATCCACTCTTATTCACTCCACACATATTTGCTTTTACAGAGAAATGACACCTCTAGTACTAAACTCAACAAACTAGATCTGGTTTCTATGTGTTTGTGTGCAGGAGTGGCAGGAAATGACCTGAACATGGCCTATGAACGGGCCCGAGTCACCATTGATGATACTCCATCCAGTTCTGTCATTCACAAGGTTTTTTTCCTCCTCCATCTGATCTCTCTCTCATCCTGAATATCTCTAGATATTAAAAAAAAAGATCTTGATGTTTTATGCTCTTCAGTCCATTTTGAAGAAGAGTGTTACCATGCAGCACGCTCCGTCCACTGTGATTCACTACATAAGCAATGCACCACACTCTGACGTTCCCCCTTGTAAAGTGGGTGCCATTTTCCAGGCCGCCAAGAAGGATCTGCTGGGGATTATTCCGCTGCAGGTCAAAATACATCTCCATTAGTGGGATATGAGTTCATGGTTTATTTATGTTTAGATTGATTTATGTGTTTGTGTTGAATATTTTTATTGGTGCTGGTGTGTCCAGGACCCCAGTTTGCTGGAGGGCAGAGTAACGCTCCATCAAGTTAAAGCTGGATCTGTTGTAGCTCGCCAAGGAGATCAGGTCAGACATCACACAGAAAATGCATATGAAATGGCTAAAAACCCAGTGAGCAGAATGGCAGTTTGTGTTCACAGACAACTTGCTAACCAAAATAGTGACTGATTTGAGATGCTTTTCATTAACATAGAATTACATAAGGATGTATACAAAATGAGGTGTCTTAGAAGGGGGCGTAATATTGATGCCAAATTTTACATCAGCTTTTGCTTCAAGAGAAGACCAGTGATGCCCAAAAATGCTGTCTAAACAGGCAGCTCACTAGATTTTGAAACCTGGCCAGTGTGAATAGCTATGCAATGTCATTTCAATGGATTTCTAATGTGTTACTCTGTCCAAATGATTTGCTTGACTGTGTGTGGGTGTGTGTCCCTCAGGATGTAAGTGTGCAGTTTGTGATCTCGGGCACACTGCATGTGTACCAGCGGATGATTGACCGAGAGGTGGACACGTGTCTGTTTGTGGCTCACCCAGGAGAGCTGGTGGGTCAGCTGGCCGTATTGACGGGTGAGCCACTTATCTTCTCCGTACGGGCGCATCGGGACTGCAGCTTCCTGTCCATCTCGAAAACACACTTCTATGAGTAGGTTTTCAGTCCACACTTCTAATGTTAGTCCAGGATTTTTTTTTGCACAGTCTCTTTAATTTGACATGCACTAAAATTCAGTAGTTTGGGGTCAAGAGTTTTTCCAAGTAAATGCTGCTCTTTTGACCTTTCTATTCAAAAAAGAATCCTGAAAAAAAAAACGTATCACTGTTTCCACAAAAATATCAAGCAGCACAACCATTTTCAACTGTGATAATAATAAGAAATGTTTTCTGAGCCCAAATTAGCATTTTAAAAGACTTTCTGAAGGATCACGTGACACTGAAAACACTGGAGCTGAAAATTCAGCTTTGCCATCACAATAGTACACTGCTAAATATATTAAAATAGACAACACTTATTTAAAATTGTAATAATAATAAATGCACCCTTTGTCAGCTTAATAGCCTTCTTTGGAAAAAAAAACAAATCTTACCGACCCCAAACTTTTAAATGGTAGGAAGGGTCTGTCTGGCTGATATGTAAAATGATCCATTAATTGATATGGCTATAATAGACTGTTATGGAAAAAATGGTCATTTATGTGCAAGTGATTTTCTTTATAATTGGCTTATTTCTGTGCATGTGAAATGAATATCACCTGCACCAAGACATAGTAGAATAATACATAGTTATACGTAAATTTTTAATCCAAATTTAACTTCATGTTGACATTGGCAGGCAAATAATGAACATAAGCTCACTCTGGTTGCTGGTTTTAATGGTTCTCCAGCTGACTTGTTGATTCGCTTCTATATTAATGTGTGTGTTGTCAGGATCATGCGAGCTGAGCCCACGGTGGTGCTGAATGTGGCTCATACAGTTGTAAGAAGGATGTCATCTTTCGTCAGGCAGATTGATTTTGCCCTTGACTGGATGGCTGTGGAGGCGGGCAGAGCTGTCTACAGGTCCAATTCATTTCCTCACATATTTACTGGTTATATATATTTTTTTCCTCCTTTCACCCTATTTATTTTCTCTCAACCTTCAACCTCTTTATTAGTATAAATAAGTAAAATTAGTGCACTGCTTGGTCAAATGTAACCTTTTAATTTGCAGGTCATTCATTTTTTACCATTTCACCTGCATCCAGTTGCAGAAAGTCGTACAATGAAGACCAACTCCCTTGGTTTTTGAAATTATACAGTACTGTCCAAATATTTTTTTTTTCCAAAGGAAATTAATACTTTTAACCAGCAAGGATGCATTAAATTGATCAAAAGACAAAAGATTTCTATTTCAAATTACTGATGTCCTTTTGAACTTTCTATTATAGAATCTAATTCAAAATATTAACAAAACTATAATAGTATACTGTATCAATGACCAATAAATAAACAAATAAATAAAATACATAAATAAATATAGCTAACATGGAGTCATTGTTGCAATCTCTTAAAGCACTTGAGATTATGATGGTTTTAAAAAAAAAAAAAAAAAAAAAATCTTAATCTGCATATTAGAATGGTTTATGAAGGATCATGTGACATTGAAGACTGGAGTAATGACTTCACAGGAATAAGTTACATTTTAAAACATTAAAATATAAAAAAGTTATATTTGTGAGCAAATAGTAATAATATTTTGCAATACAAGTGTTTTACTGTATTTTTAATCAAATTAATGGAGCCTTGCTGAATGTTAGGGACTTAAAAAAAAAAACAAAAAAAAACTCCTCAAACTTTTGAACAGTAGTGTACATTCAATAAGCACCTATAAGTGTGTCGTTTCCATGTCCTCATAGTTTTGGCCATGTAGTGAATATATTAATATTTAATGTCCTTCATAACAGTTTTTTTTTGGCTCTCCTGAGAGGAACTTCCAGATAAACTCTATTGTTATGGTCTTTTTCTCTCCTCTTTTCCTATGCCTCCTCAGTAAGAGATTTGGACCGAATACAATCTAATAAACTTGGCGATTTCTTTTTCTCTTCTGCCCCTCTTGCTGAGACAGATAAGCTTCCTCAGCTTTTCATAAATCTTCTATGATAAACGACCTCATCCTTTCTCTCTCTTTTTCTCTCTCAGGCAGGGTGATAAGTCTGACAGTACTTTTATAGTGCTCAGCGGCCGCCTGCGTTCTGTCATCATGAAGGAGGATGGGAAAAAGGAGCTGACTGGAGAGTACGGTAGAGGAGACCTCATTGGAGTGGTGAGATTTTCCACATGCACAACATATACTGAAATACAGCGTCTTCTTGTCATAGCAAACGTATTCCTATCTCTCTCTTATTTAGCTCCTTTATTACCATAAAAGCATTTATATTTAAGCAATAAAGTCCTAAAGAGCTGTATAGTCACCAATCAGCATCCCGCACCAAAATCAGTTTTATAGGTATCATGTGGTGTAATGGTTAAAAACTGTGCTAGCAACCAAATGATTGTACCTTGAGTTTTATAAACTTTTATAACTGTATATTTTGCTAAGATGACTCAAGGATGAATCAGATATTGTTCCATGTTATATAATGCTGCATATGTACTATATAGAAAGTCAGCCTTTTGTATGTATGTGCATCTCCTAGAATAGCTTTGGTGACATTTACTGGCATTGGTGTATTCAGTGAATTTGTGCCACCTAATCAGGTGTGCATTAGAGAAAACAAACTCCCAGTATCTCCCAGTAACTAGTAACTCATCATTCATAACGTTTTGTTGTGATTGGCTGACGCCATTTGCGTCTCCATGGTGACGCCTATGCTGCTAAGAATACCTGTCCATGTCGATGCCATGGTTACGTTGCTGGGAGAACAGTGGTGGTTCATTGTCCATGGATGTGAGTGATGTGAATGAAGGCCTGATTTGATGATCCAAATTTAGTCTCCGTCTACGTCATGGAGTTTTGTTGGTGCTGATGTTTGCTCTTGTATGTGAGCAAAAATATCTTGTCTAAATAACAGGAATATATGTCTAAATTAGGAGCTAAAATGATAATTCTCTCAATATTAACCCTGTATGACTTTCTTCTTCATGAATAACAAATTTCAGTCTGTTACTTGCTGAAAGCAGTTGTATGACTTCAGAAGACTTGGAATAATGAAGTCATACAGCGTTATTTTAGTATTATTTATATGCTATTATTTTTTTTCAGTTTCAGTTGTAGTACTTTTAGTGCTTCAACCAGAACTATTTATTTCGGTTAGTTGCCAAGGCAACAATTAAAATTTTTCTTTCAAGCTTTTCAAGTAATATTTATATTTCATTTTATTTTAGATTCATGACACTTACCAAAAACTATTTTTCTTAATCAATAACAACAGTGGAGTCATGTGAACCACCCCAATTCTGGGTCAAATGTCCCTTTAACGCAGTCTTTCTATTTTTAAGGTTCTTCACAACAAATACTTGTTACAAATTAAAATTTAAGAAATATTAAAAATATTTTTTTTGTACCTAAGCAAGCTTCAAAGTCAATCAGTGAATTATGTTTACATGGATTTTTTGTGTGTGAATGCAGGTGGAGGCTCTGACCCATCAGAACAGAGCAACTACTGTTCACGCTGTTCGGGACTCAGAACTGGCTAAACTTCCTGAGGGTGCTCTCAGTTCCATCAAGAGGAAATTCCCACAGGTATATCAGCCACACTGCATTTGCTTTATAGCCAGAAACCTCAGTGATGAGAGTTTCTCTGGCCTCTCTGTGCCTGTATAAAGTCCGTTTCGTTCTCTCTATTTGATCTCATTAGGTAGTCACAAGGCTTATTCACCTTCTTGGACAGAAGATACTCCAGCAAGTTAATGGACCTTTGACAGGTGTCTGTGTGTCTGTGTGTGTGTGTGTGTGTGTGTGTGTGTGTGTAAAACTATCACCGTTTCATTTTCATTTCCTGCATCAAAGGCCAAGGTTTCTAGACTCACTAATGCATAACAACTGCATTGTATCTGTATTTTAACGTCCAGCTCGCAGTCTAGCTCTACACACGCCTGGTAGTAAATGGGACGCGGGGAACCCTGCCTCAAACCTGTCCACTGTCACTGTGCTCCCGGTATCAGAGGAGGTTCCTCTGACTGCGTTCACCCTGGAACTTCAGCATGCACTCTTAGCTATCGGTGAGGATGCTGTATTTATATAGGTTTTATATCAAAAAGATGAGAAGGTTTACAATTGGAGAGGAAGTTTAAGTCAAATTTATGTCTTCCAGGCCCCACTCTTCTCTTGACTAGTGACATCATCAAACAGCGCCTCGGCTCTGCTGCGTTAGACAGGTACAGCATCAGAGTTTCATTGGATAATAGCTTGAAATGTTTATATGGCATCAAATATTAGTTTATATAAACGTGTGGCCACTCCATCTATCAGAATATGTAGATTCACTGTTAATACATGCTGATTTTTAGGATGAGTGTGTTTCAGCTGCCTGAAAAACAACACCACACTCATCTTTTTTATTTTTACATATCAAAGTAGTCGTTAGATGAGAGAGATGAAAGCAGTTTTGTGATATGTAAATGAACAACACAATTAACCCCATAAATAAACAGTCCGCATGAGTCCTGTCCCTCTAACCCAGCATGAGATCTTCCTTTCTCCTTGTTGCTGATGTTTGTTTCTGTTGTGGTCTGAGTTTGGTGTTTTATGTTTGAATTTAATTTAGAAAACTTTTAAGTGCCGATACTGGCCTGGTTTCTCTCAAGAATATTGACAAGCTCTCATCCATCACATGTTTATTGGACAGTTTAACAGCAATAGATCCACAGAGACAAGGATCCGACACACATTCATCAGTATCTAGAACAGTACCCCAGACTGTAATGCTCACAAATTTGCAAAAAAATAAAATCTGTGCAAAATTTAGTCCTCATTAGAAACTCAAACTTCGTAGCAATGTCTTTGTTAAATTTCACATGGTGGTAGATGAAGCAGTATTTGTTTGTTTTTTAGAGTGCATGGCATCATTATATACACTAACATTCCAAAAATTTGGGGGTGATAATTTTTTTGGGATTTTGTTTTTGAAGGAAGTCCCTTAAGCTCACCAAAGCTGCATTTGTTTAATCAAAAATAACAACATGCATTTTATGAAATATTATTACAATAAAAAAATATATATTATATTTTAAATAATTTAAAACTGTAAAAAAATATTTTTAAATGTATTATTTATTTTTGTCATAGCAAAGCTAAATTTCAGCAGTCATTGCTTCAGTCTTCAGTGTCACACGATCCTTCAGAAATCATTCGAATATGTTGATTTGGTGCTTAAGAAATGTTAATAATTAACATTATTATTATTATCAATGTTAAAAATGGTTGTTCTACTTTATTTTTGTGAAAACAGTTCAAAAGAACAGACACAGGGATAGTAACACACACACACACACACACACACATATATATATATATATATATATATGAACTATACACATTTACATTATTTTATAGATTTTTTAAAAATCTAGAAAATAATATTTCACTTTTGAGTGCATCTGCTTAAAATGTTTTGGAAAATCTTTATCCAGTAGTCACAAATGCTTAAAAGTCCTGGATGCGTCATGGATATTCATTGGTCAAAAGGTGTGGGAACCTACAGGTCTTCACATGTTCCATAAATGAACAACTAAAGTCATTTGAATCCTAAATATATCACATATGTCATTGTAGTCTTGTCTGTATAGTCATAGTCCGTAGTCTCACTATCCATTTTAATCTTGGATGAATTCTAATCTTGGACCATTCTAACCTGACTCTTCGACTTTGGCATGTTTATAAACGGCATAAGTTCAACAATTTGGTTATCTACATTTTTTTAAATAACTTACTATATAGGGAACAAATCAGTTTATTTGCTGATACCATGAGAAGTAGCTGAAAATAGTCTCTCTCTCTCTCTCTCTCTCTCTATGCCAGTGTGCATGAGTACAGGTTATCGAGTTGGCTGGGCCAGCAGGAAGACATCCACCGCATAGTCCTATATCAGACAGATGTGTCACTCACTCCATGGACTCAGCGCTGCATCAGACAGGCCGATTGCATCCTCATCGTGGGACTGGGAGAGCAGGACCCAGCCGTGGGAGAGGTATGATGGTGTTACATCATCACAGAGTGAAAAACGCTGACATGAACTGGTGCTAAATTTCGCATACCAAGATTCAGAGCTGTGGCTACTTCCTCTGGAAATAGAAGAGTCTTTAATATAAAACATCTTCCAACTCAAATGAAATGGGTTTCAAGGCCTGTAATTTATCATTTGCTCAGGATGGCAGGTAGTTTTATAGGTTGAGCCCAAAAAACATTAAGTCATTTGAACCATAACGCACTGGGCTAAAAATGGCCCCTACTCTTCTGTAAGTCACCGCTGAACAGCTCTGATCACAGGCAGTAATAAACCATTTTGGTGGGACTCCAGTTGAACTGCTGGACTTACTCAGTTCTTTTCCTAGAGAGCAAGAGATGAATCATTTACGTGCACGAGGAAGAGAAGTTTTAGATATGCAGGGGTTTCGACAGTCCAGCCTGTGGATTTGAAGTTGGATCAGAGGTCTGGGGTAGAGCAACATCCCTGTTGATCGTGTATGTCCTGCAGGCTTTAAAGGGTACAACCACTATAGTGCTGCTCTTTGAACAGGAGCTCAAAGCTCAGATGTTTTAAACAAGTCTGAAATGGGTAATTGTATTCACATGAAAAGAACTGAGAGAGGATGTGTATGTTAAATGCACACCGGACAAAGGAAGACCTGAACAAAATGACCTGAAAGAAATGGATATATTTCTATTATATTTATGGATTAATTCTGTATTCAGTGCGTTCCATAAAAAAAAAAAGTATTATTATAATGCATTTGGACAGAGTGTTGTCTAGTTTTGAAAGGATGATATTCAGTCCTCTCTATGTCTGTCTGTCTCTTTGTCTCTCAGTTGGAACGTATGTTAGAGGGGAGTGCGGTGAGAGCGCAGAAACAGCTGGTGTTGTTGCACCGCGAGGACGGCCCTCCTCCCAAAGGAACAGCCGAATGGCTCAACATGCGGAGCTGGATCTCCAGGCACCTTCACCTGTCCTGCCCCCGCAGGGTCTTCTCCAAGAGGAGCCTGCCAAAATTGGTGCTGCACTCAATATTACATCATGGTTTCACTGAAATAACTCATTTTGAAAGCCATGCAATGGTGTAGCGCAGGGGTTTTCAGACTTTTTGATGGCACAAACCCCACAATATGCTGCAAGAGACTATTTTATTTTATTTTATTTTATTTTATTTATTTTACCCCTTAGCACTCCCTTGAGTGAAGAAAAAAGGACTGCTACATTTTAAATTATACATTTGTTAACATTCTATGTATTTAAGACGCTCTTGATATTCCTGTCAAGTTTCCCAGGCTGCTGCTGGTTTGTCCTTGAGCTCCATTGACTTATGTCATGGCAAATCTTAGTCTTGTTCAGCATATAACAAGAAAAGAAACCACAAAGTAGAACCAATTACAGACAAATCTTTAAGAAAGACCTTGAAGAAATAAAGCTGCCTTCTTTTTGATCTGCTTCATAGCTGAGATAGGAATAAAGACAATTAAAATTTGTATGATTGGCAATGCAACAATGTTGCCAATAAAATTATGTGGCTCTAGGTGAAGTTCTTAATAAAAGTGTTTTCTTTTTTCACAATGAGTTGTGTTGGCAGCTCTATTAATGGTCTGAGCATGTCTAACTCGAGACCAAGGTCATGTGAGATTGATTTCCTATGACGGGTAGGTCACAATATTTTTGGTGAGAGTGGCGAATGGAGAGCATTTCCAATGCCAGGATCCGCCACTGATGATAATTTTTTATGATGAAATGGAATTCTGTAGTAATTGCCATTTTTATTACATATATCCTGTAGCTGGTTAGTTTAAGACAGTTTTACAATCATCTACTTTTTTTCTGTAAGATTAAGTCATAATTTTTATTTGTTTCAAACTTTTCATAACTTGTCATTCTTCAGTCAGTTTCTTAAATACGTAGATTGGTCTAATTTGAATCTGAAGAGTACAATTGCCCATTGAATAACTGCTAGTTGGTCAGACTAGTTCTTAAGACACAGTCTTAACATAGTGACTAAGCTTGTATAACCAGCCCCTAATTTTTGGCATAGTGCTGGTCTAAGTTCCTGTGTCATTTGTGTTTTCAGAGAGAAATGTACCAGCGTTTGTTCCAGAAACCCGCTGATCGCCACTCTGATTTCTCACGTCTGGCCCGTGTTCTTACGGGCAACGCCATTGCGCTGGTGCTGGGGGGCGGAGGAGCCAGGTATTCACTTGTTAAACCTTTTAAAAACCATAAATAAAACTATGAAAGTGAAGAAAAACACCTCCACTATTTGAATGCATTTCCACACTCCCACTCTTGTTGACACTACACTGGCATTTTCCTTTAAAAGCCCTTCACCACCCCCTCTCAGTCTTTGTTTAACCTCTTGCCTCTGTTGCTCTCTTTCTGTCAATTAAATTTTTTCTGATAGCTTCTGTTTGTCTATTCTGTTTTTTCCGTGCTTGGCAGGAGGTGTTTAAAGGTTGGTTGCTATTTTTTCCCTTCATTCCTTTGTGTAGTAACCTGTGATTGATTCTGTGTACAGTGTTAACTCTTCCCAGTCTCCTTTAGAGTAGAAAACCCCTATAGTGCTGTTCAAAAAGAGAACAACACAATGCTTGTTTCGAGTTTCGATTTTAATCAAGCCATATTTACTTACTCCCCTTCGTCCTGAGTGGGACATCAACGATTTGTTTCCACTTGGCTCGATCTAAAGGAGACCCATCTCCTTTAGTTCTGCCATCACTGTGCATCTCCATGTTGTTTTTGGTCACCCTTGTTTTCTTCTGCCAGGTGGTGTCCATCTCAGGGCAGTCTTTTATTATTTGAGCTGATTTTGATGTTTCGAACATGGTGAGGACATTCCATGCTCCAAAACGGATACTGGTTTTGGGCCCAAGCAGACTATCTTTCATACTCCTGACTTCCTTTTGATGGCTTTCATCAGAAGTAGTCATGTTGCCATTTTGTTGGCTCAAGTCCACTTTGGGGCTGGTTGTTTGGACAATGTAGCAGCACAGAGGGTGCCATATTTGGGCATCATAATTGTTTTGGACCAATAGAACTGAACCAAAGTCAAAGGTTATGTATTGACTGGCCTTGTATCACTGGGTTTATTTGTACCCTCTTCACATCTTCCCTCTTTCAGGGGCTGTTCTCAGGTGGGCGTCATTCGAGCATTGAGTGAGGCGGGAATCCCCATTGATCTGGTGGGCGGCACCTCTATCGGTTCCATGATGGGCGCGCTGTACGCAGAGGACCGCAGTTACAGCAGGATGAAGATCAGAGCCAGAGAATGGGCGATGGTGAGAGACCACTGTAATGTAAAACACTCAAAAACCTGAGACAAACCTTGTGCTACTTGAAAATGCATCTCAGTGCTCACCAAAAAAATATGAATCAAGCACACTTTTCCTTTTCATTTTTCCTATTCTCTTTTCTTTACCTTTCTTTTTCATTGTATTGTTTCCTGTTCCTTTTTCCTTAATTTTTCCCTCCTTTTCTTTTCTTCATTCATATTATTATTATTATTATTTTTTTTCCCTTTTCCTTTACTTTTCTTTCCTTTTTCCTATTCTTTATCCTTTCTTTTTTCCAGGCTTGTTTTGTTTTACTACACTTTTTTCATTCACTTACCAATTTACTTTTCCTTGTCCTTTTAATTTTCTTTATTTCTATTTCCTATTATTTCCTTTCCTTTTTCTGTTCATTTTTCTATTTTTTTTATTTTCCTTAAATTTTTATTTCATTTTCATTTTCTTTCCTGTTTCCTATTCTTTTTTCGTCCTATTTTACTATTCTTTTATTGTCCTTTTTTTGAATTTTCCTTTTCATTTTTCTATTCATTTTATTCGTTTTTTACTTAATCCAATCTGTTGCTTTATTGTTCTCCAATTTAAAAGCCACTTAAATTGGACATAAAAAAGCTAACTTTGTTCCCCTTTCTTCCACTGCAGGAAATGACATCAGTGTTTAAGAAAATGCTGGACTTGACCTACCCTGTCACTTCTATGTTTTCTGGTGCTTCGTTTAACTCTAGCATTAATGCTGTCTTCAAGGACAAACAGATAGAGGTAGGAAACTGGCTCTTTTTGGCTCAAAGAATCCTACACTGGATCACAATCTGACATATTCAGCAGCTTAAATGTGTTTGGCTTGTTTTCAGGATCTCTGGATCCCATATTTCAACATCACCACAGATATCACTGCCTCCACGATGAGAGTGCACACTGACGGTCCGTACTGTCACATACTCCACCTGCATTTATGAGCCTCTGCTTAACCAGGATAAATGTCTGATGTTTCTTGTCCCTCCATCACAGGCTCCCTGTGGAGGTATGTGCGTTCCAGCATGTCTCTTTCTGGTTACCTGCCACCACTGTGTGATCCAAAAGATGGACACCTGCTCATGGACGGAGGCTACATCAACAACCTGCCAGGTGTGTAGTAGGACATTAACTCCCCGCAGTAAAAGCTCTTTAGCTCCTGACAGTCAAATCCCAATATACCATGACAAACACACTATTTCATAGATGCAAATCTGCTAAAATAGTCTAGCTATTGGCATAAAGTCTGGGCCAAGATTATTTAGCTTATTCTGGCCAAGGACCGCCCACTTAGACAGGAAAGATCTGTCTGGGGGAGGGTTCTAAAATAGTCGAAACCCCAATAATAATACTTTCATGAAACTTTGAGCCATTTTTGTGTGCAATTTGCATCTGACATTCAGTGAATAGACTGTGGGCGGACTTGAGTGTGCTGTCTATGGCTCAGATCACTACTATCAGAGTTTATCAGATCTGAAGAATTGGGTAATTTTGGTCATTTTGTAATAATGGTGGTTCATTGTTGCTGAGGTTGTTGTCTTCTCTTCCTGTTTCAGCGGATGTGGCACGCTCCATGGGTGCCAAAGTGGTTATTGCCATCGATGTGGGCAGCCAAGATGAAACCAACCTCACCAACTACGGGGACGCCCTTTCTGGCTGGTGGCTGCTATGGAAACGGCTCAACCCACTGGCTGAGAAAGTCAAAGTGAGGGAGACATTAGCCAAGTGCAATGTTTACTTAATTAGTTGTGTTTTCTAAGGCAAGCATCAACATTACTATTTCTCATACTTGTAAAGGTGCGGCCACATTTGGTGATGCATCATACATCACTACACTATTAACAATAGACCATGGACCTTTTTTGCCTGCAAAATTTTGCTCATATGACCACACCTTAAGTGTCAACTTTTTGTGATTATTAAACGTTGACACACAAATAAGACTTTCATCATCAAATGAATGATACTGCAACTTGTGCAAATGGAGAAGAGGTATGTTATCCCTTTAAGCTATTGGATTTATGCTTTTTACCCCACAGATGATAAAACAGCAAAAATATCTGATAGATTTGAATTAACCTGAGCCATATTTAGTATGTTATTAAATGGCAACCACACAGAACACATTCATGGCAACCACTTTTGCATGCATAAGCACTTGAATTTTGTTCAGGAGATGTTAAAATCTAGATTCCTTTTTCTTTTTTTTAATAAAGTTGCTGTGTATTTAAGATTGTAAGTGTATGTGGCTGTTTCAGGTGTTGAACATGACTGAGATCCAGGCCCGGCTGGCTTATGTGTGCTCAGTGAGACAGCTTGAATCTGTTAAGAATAGCGACTACTGTGAATACCTCAGACCTCCCATCGACAGATACCGCACACTTGAGTTTGGCAAGTTCGATGAGATTAGCGTGAGTTTTGTCTCCTTGACATTTTTTTTCCTTCTGCGCTCTAAATATTAAGTCTTTGTTCTGTGCTTATATTGTTTTTGGTTGGCCTCATGTGTTTGTGTGCGCATATAGGAAGTGGGCTACCAGCATGGGAAGACGGTGTTTGATGTGTGGTGCAGGAGTGGCGTGGTGGAAAAGATGATGAAAGACAGACATCAGGAGGAATTCCACAAAACGCAGAGCAACAATGTGAGCCTGGATCACCTGAAAGAGAGGCTATTAAGTTGTAATGTGTGTCGATACAGTTCTTCACTTCAATTTATTGTTGTTTCTGCAGTTGGTAACCTGTCCAAATGCTTCCTTCACTGATCTGGCTGAGATTGTCTCACGGATTGAGCCAGTCAAACCAGCTCTTGTGGATGGTAAATCAATGTTGAATCTCATAAGTTTACCTTTTAAAAGCACACTTGGCAGTCGTTTTCAGGGATTTTGGCATAAATTCCCAGCATATTGATCTGTTTTTTGCTTCTGCTTAGTTGGATGTCATTTAGTGTTGTGTGATTTGTGTGTTAGGCTAATGGGTTGGAAATGTCTCCATCTTTCCCACAGATGAATCGGAGTATCACACAGAATATGAAGAGGAGATGGCAGAGAGCGCACTGTCAGACATTGAGCTCTACAACCATTACAGTGAGCACACAGAGGAGGAACTGACCGCAGACACTGTGAGTCTATAGTACACACGCAGACTCAAAGGGACATATTCTATACTTTTGTGGCATTTTATTCTTGTTAGTCATGTCAACTTTTTCTTGCACCAAAACAGTCCTAATTTAAAGGGGTCATATGATGTTGCTAAAAAGAACATTATTTTGTGTATTTGGTGTAATGAAATGTGTTTATGCGGTTTAAGGTTAAAAAAACACATTATTTTCCACATACTGTACATTATTGTTTCTCCTCTATGCCCCGCCTTTCTGAAACGCGTCGATTTTTACAAAGCTCATCGGTCTGAAAAGCGAGGTGTGCTCTGATTGGCCAGCTATCCAGTGCGTTGTGATTGGCCGAATACCTCAAGCATGTGACGGAAGTGTTACGCCTCTTACCTTATTGTGATGCCTTGTCCCGACCGGAGCGACGAGACACAAACATTAAACTCCATTATAAACGAGGCATTTGTTGCATACAGTGGGGACAACTAGCCGTTTTAGGTAGGCGTGGTTGACTCTTAACTTTTATAAAGAATATCTCTTTGGATTTGAGACTTTAGTCTTTGCAACTTTACAGATCTTCTTTATGCACCAAGAGCTTGTAACACTCCAAAGAGAAAGTTGAAATCGCTTCATTATGACCCCTTTAAGTTAACATTATCATGCACTCTGATTCCAATAAGATATGCAGCTGTGGTTCACCATTATTTGATTTATCTGATCATAAATTTTTGTCATTTAATTTCTTTTAGATCCACTTTTAATGTTAGTCATGGTTTCTTAAATCTAAATCTAAAGTCGTTATTTAGAAAAAAATTCCACCTTCTCTCTGAATTTTACAATAGAAATGCTACTGTATCTTTAAGACGTCTGTATGTAAACAAGCATAGTTCACACAGACATTGAAAACATGGTGAACTTTTGTTAATGTATGCATCACCATGAAAATTTCTAAATAACCAGTTTGTGCCTCATGCACAAAAATTAAATGGGTGGACTGGAAAGGGAATTTTGAGCTTATATTATACCATTCCATTGTTTGGGGTCAGAAAGATTATTTTTTTTATTCATACATTTATTGATACATTTCAGCAAGAACACAATAAATTGATCAAAAGTGATAGTTAATACATTTATAATGTTACAGAAGATTTCTATTTCAAATAAATGCTATTTATTTCTGTTCATCAAAGAATCCTGAAAAAAATGTAGCATGATATTTAGCAGCATAACTGTTTTCAACACTGATAATGCGAAATGTTTCTTGAGCAGCAAATCAGCATATTAGAATGATTTCTGAAGGATCATGTGACTCTAAAGACTGGAGTAATGGCTAATGTTACAGGAATAAATTACATTTAAAAAATATATATAGAAAAAAAATATTTTACATTTGAATAATATTTCACTATTACTGTCAAATAAATGTAGCCTTGGGGAGCATTGGGGGCTTTTCAAAAACATTTTAAAAATCATACCGACCCCAAACTTTTGAAAGGCTGTGTATGTCTACATAGTACATCAAATGAGAAAAAAGCCAAAAAGTTCTATGAATCCTAAAAAATAAACTGACTGATCACATTGATGCTTATGCCCAGGATGAAGAATTCGAGAGGTCTCATAGGCAGCGTGTGCGTTCTGACGTGGAAAACCTAGGGCCCGTGTCCTCCAAAACACCACAGACCTCTAGCCCCAATGGTTCTCCAGCACTCCACAAAAGAAAAGCACAAGGACTAAAACCCCTCCATCCCGACCACTGACCCAGATATCAGCATGGCAGTGAAAAAACACTGGCACTCCCATGATTTGGGGTTTGGCCTTCTGTACACATTCCAGTCACACCAAGTACATCCAGGCCTTGAGGAACAGGGACTGAGTACTTTATGTATTTACACAAGCCTTTTTCCCCTCTCATAAAAAAATCCAAAGAAAACATCTATTGCTGCAATTTAAGTTTAAGATGGACATGCTGGGTAACATGGCATGAGGTTGAAATAATACCTGGCCTCGCATGTGAGCAGTAACTCAAGACTATCCCAGAGTGTCTGTGAAGTTTCATGCTGACTATGAGCTCTTTTGATTGCCAAGCGTTGTCTTCACTCCGTCTTGCATTACTGGTTAATCAATAGAGTAGGAAATTCCACAATTAAGACAATCAGCTACAACATTCTTTACAAACAGTTAGATTGGATTGCATGTTCGGCTGATTATTTCTTCTGTAAATGAAAGTAGCAGAAAAGAGCGAAATAATGATTTAGAGTTAAAAAAATAAAGTGATATTGAATGTAGAGTTCTCTGTTTATAAGCTCAGATGACAATGTTGACTTTTTGTTTCATTTAAACCTCTCAAAGACTGTTTGGCAAGTTGATTTGGCTGTTTCACACATGTCAGTAACTCCTAGCTCAGGGGTACATGATCTATGGACAGTTGAGTGATCGATTTAAACTAACCAGCGTCGATAATCACACCGAATGTGTCTGATGAGTTAATCATGCCTCTAGCTGCATGTGATCAAACAATGCAACTCAGAAAAGCAAGCCTATCAATGCAATACTTTTTATATTTCTTGTTTTTGTTGTGAAAATCACTGTATGATACCTGTAGTGCCTTTTAATCTTAGTACTAGCCATACAAGACAATGAGAGTTCAATATTGGTCCAGAAATATATTAACAGTCTAACCACAATGCCAGTATTGATTAATGTGTATGTGTGAGGTATCATTTGATTTTTGATTATGCCGCCATGACTGACTTTAATTTGGTGTTTTGTGGTCATGCCATTGTTTTTGAATCTTCCGGAACAATCATAATGCTGTGTGCCGATAGTTTTTGCTTAAATCTGTTGTAACACTGTCATAAAGCTAAAAAAGAAAGCACTTATGTTGTCAGCATTGGCTGTTTAGGGTCAGTTAGTTTCCAACGTTAAAGAAACCACAATATGGACATCTGAAAAACCAAACGAGAATATGCTATTGTTTTCAATTGATGGGAGAATCTAGTGTCATTCTGCAAACGTCTTAAAATGCTGATTCCTAATAAACTGTATTTTGTTTTTGTCTTGAGTTCCAGTGTTGAAAGAACTCTGAAGATTTTGAAATATTTGTTTATTTGCATATGTTGCATAATGCAGGACGGCTCACGTTTACCCTGTCTGCTGTATGCTGCACTCCAGGAGCCAAGTGTGCCCGGCGGTAATTATGAGAATGAATTATGGGATTCGGCTGTAAGTCCATGGTTTTTCTGCCTAATGGAGTTGCTGCCGTCTTCAATCATTGCTCGGTGCCAACTCTGAGCAAAACAGCCTCAGCAGGCTGCTGCACGTGAGATTTAATGCACTCAGACATGTAATGAAGACGAAACACTTCCAAATGAGTTTTGTGAAGTGAAAACTAGGAGATAATCGCACATGATGAACAAACGTCTATGCATCACATGCACTGTACTGGGTTTAGGGTCAGTCAAGTGTTTTGCTAGTTTATGGATATGGGAGAACCTGTTTGTAAGAATTTGCCATATATACAGCTGTTTTTTAGCGTATTTTGTTTGAAAGAACCTTTTGACCCTAAGATTTGTGGACATTTGTTATGTTGCTTTAAATTTATATGCTGCAACGTTTTTGACCAATTGAAGCACAACTTCAATGTAATGCTGTTCTTTTGAACTTTCTATTAATCAAAGAATCTTGAAAAAAAAAATATATATGTATCAGTTTCCACAAAAAATATTATAGTTTTCAACAATGAAAATATGAAATGTTACTTGATCACCTAATCAGCATATAACAATAGTTTCTGAAGGATTATGTGAATGGAGAAAATTCAGCTTTGCCATCACAGGAGTAAATTAAATTTGAAAATATAAAATATATTTTAAGTTGTAATATTTCACAATATCGTGTTTTTTTTTTTGCTGTTTTTTTAATCAAATAAATGCAACATTGGTGAGTATAAGAGGATGATTGGATGAGCTTTAAATAGATTAATTAGACCTTAACGCCATTTCTATTACTTTGCATCCCCTTCTTTTCTTTATTTCTGTTTAGGCCTGTTTTCTAGCTCAAAATCACCTGCATCTTGCATGTTGTCATGCATTTCTCCATGACAACCTAGTCGTTGTCATGGAGAAATGCTTTCTGGAATCACAGTCTGTTGTTTAAAGATGGTATGATTAATTTAGTCTTTTCAGATTACATGTATCTTTGTCACCCGTGGTCCACTTCTCACCAGGTGTGCTGTAGACAAATGGGATATTATAATGGACGTCCTGTGTTTTCCAGAACAGCATGAAAATAATGAATTGATTAATGAATGAGCCAAACACCCACTGCACTTTTTTTGGGTGAATCAGCTTAGCTACTTCTAACTTTTACATTTGAATGTATGATAAATTGTTCATCTGTCATATATCTGCCATATTTTATATCTTGATTAATACACGATAAACACTCAAAATTTTCCTCAAATGCTCATTATTTATGTTGCACTAAGTGATCTAAAGACAACTTTCTACTGACTATAGGGCACTTTAAAAATCCAAGAGGCCGTGTGTCCGTTGCCCTGGCTGAGGAGATATTGTGAGCTTGCAGAAGTGCTAATAAGATAATGAGAGATGGCACAGTTTGGGTGAAAGGTGAGGAATATGTCTGAATGTAGGAGAGAAGCCATTAAAGCTGGTCTTTATTTAAACTGTCAAAACTCTGGGAATGTTCAGTGCACTGCCAATGCCAGTGTGTTAATTATGCATTCTTAAGTGTATGATTCGGGGAAAAAAAGGTTATTTGTATTCACCTTTTTGCAATTATTTTCTGCAATTAATTCAGCCTGAACCACTTAAAGGCACAATATTAAAGATTTTTTTTATTAAAATATCCAAAAACCACTAGAACAGTGTTATATATTTTGCTGACTTGTGTACTTACATTATCCCAAATGTTTCGAAAAATGTTTAAATCCAGAGAAATAAGCAATTTTAACTAGTGACACGGAGCGTTTCCATAGTGTCATTGTGTCGCCTGCCAATGACGTCATAGCCCCTCGATTTCGATTTGGTGGAAACACCAAAGATGCTTTAATATGCTATGCATTTTATTAGACAGGTGACGACCGCACAGAGTAGCATTATAACAGAACGTTCAAATGTATCTAGTATGATAAAACAGCCCTGCGTGTCGCGCTCGTTCAGCTGCCTCGTTTTGATTTGATGGCTTTCCACCTCACTCTGCTTCATACTACAACGTTAATAAATCTTTAATACATTAGCTCATCCATGAACATGATTTCTGCCCGAGTCCCGTCGGATTGCATCGGCTGTGGGGATGAAGACCACAACTCCCATGATTCCACACTCAGTCACGGCATCATCTAACTACGCCTTTGTTTCTTTGTTTGTTTTGAATACGCGCCCTCCAGTGGCAAAAAATTACATATTGTGCCTTTAATACATAGAATGTAATGTGTAGTATACTTAAGGTATAATTGCAGCCTCTGTTTTGTTTTTCTTAAAATTGAGATTTTTTACATTTAGGATTGTATTTTGAAAATCACCCACTATGTAATATAAAGAATTTTGCACTGGAAATAGTGGTATTTATTTCAGGAAATGCAGATCTAGTTCTCTCTGATATATTATGAAATAATATATTATTATTATTGTTAATGTAGTATATTAATATGAAATAATCTCTAAAATGTTATTTAACCATCTAAATTGGTATGATTCTGATTCACTCTGTCGTCCACAAATGACACTGCAGAAATGACTCTGCAAAACTGCAGTCCTGGTCACTTCCTGTATCTTCCACTAGGTGGCGTCGTGTTGCAGCCTGCTGCCTGCCCTCCTATACGCGATGACTTCCTCATGTGGTGATTAGGAGCAGGTAAAGGAGGGTTATTTACTCTGTTGTTTAGCTCCTGTCAGAATGACGGACGAGGGGCCGCTGTGACCTTTCTGCTCCGTTGAAGCAGACTTCTATTTTGCCAGCCTTGTTAATTCATTGTCTTGTTCTCCCCCAAGAATAGGCACAAATGTCACCACTAATTAATGAGTTTGTGAGGAGAAATATGGGTCATAGTCTCTGAAAAACTGAGCGGTTAAAGGAATGCTCACCTAAAAATGAAAATTCTGTCATTATTTACCCTCAGATTTTTCCAAACCTGTTTGACTTTTTGTTCTGTGGAAAACAAAAGGTGAATCCAGGCCACTCTATTCAAAATAATGAAAGTGAATGAGGTCTGTCAAGTTCTGAAAAGAAAAATGACCATAAAAGTATCATAAAAGTGCCCCACATTACTTGTGCACTATATTCCAAGTCTGAAGCTTATGATGGTTTGTTTGAGGAACAGACTGATATTTAAGTAATTTTTCATATTCACCCCAGTTCTCTTTGCAGTGTTCATGAGAGAAGTGGTGATGCCTTGTTTGTGAACTCATTGTTCATTTGAATCATATCTTTCAACGAAGCGTATCATCTAAAGGTGCATCTCAATAAATATTTGTTGTGAATTGGTGGGTTTTTGTTAAATGTGAGCCAAAATCATCACAATTAAAAGAACCAAAGACTTAAACTACTTCAGTCTGTGTGCATTGAATTTATTTAATACACGAGTTTCACAATTTGAGTTGAATTACTGAAATAAATGAACTTTTCCACGACATTCTAATTTATTGAGATGCACCTGTAGTTCACAAAACAAAACTATTTTCAATGAATAAAAACTTTAATTTCTGTCGCATGGATTCAGAAGACATAAAAACTACTTTCTTTTGTGTCTTTCTGAAGCTTGACAGACCCAGTCTTTATTCACTTATATTGAAAAGAGTGGCCTGGATATTCTTCAGAAATTCTCCTTTGTGTTCCACAGAAAAAAGAAAATCTGGAACAACATGAGGGTGAGTGAATACTGACAGTACTATTCCACGTGTGTGTGTGTGTGAGAATCATCATATTGGTTGATCTAAGTGGGAGTTTCAACAGGTTTGGCTGGATCTTGAGACTGTTTGACAAAGATTAAAGCAAAGAATGTATAAAACAGAGAACAACGCTGCAATTTTTGGCACTTTCATAAAAAAAAAAAAACGATCACGCACAAGTGGACAAATGCAACACTTTGCAGTATATTTAACTAATTTGCTTTCTGCCACTCTGGTGTGGCGTTACTGTCTGGTACTCTCTATCTTTTGCTCTTGCTCTCTCAATCCCCATTCAACAGGTAAATGGTGCACTGCGCCGCAGAAGTCGGATCTCCCTCCTGCTCTGACGCACATGTACACTCACACTCCTACTGATCAGCAGACCACAAACTCTCTTAGAAACAACAAAACCCTCTGGCGTCTGATGACTTTGAGTAGGCAGTGTGAAAAGTGCACATGCGATAGCTGGCCGTGGTAAGAACAGCGTTACTGAGAGGGGAACGGATTTTTCTGTTAACTAATGACCTCTTATTTCCCCAGATAATGAGTCTCCACTGTGAGCGCTGAGCTTACTGCACAGCCCATTTACACAAAACTATTTAGTTTGGGTTTTATGCATTCATTTAATACAAACAAGCCATTGTGCTTCATTAGATTTCCTAGGCCCTCTTTCAAAGTTAATCTGTCCCTGTTTCCCATTTGACAATCTTATCAGGGAAAT